ATCCCTATCTTTTATAAGAATAAAGTACATTTCGTGGATACACTTTCACGAAGAACCTATTTCTGGGATACCGCAGTCCCATGTGGATCAGAAAACAGCCACAATGTAGTACAACTAAAACCTGATGAAAATAAATATTATCTTCTCACACCATATCCCACATTAATGCAACCACTCAAAAAATTTTCACCAGAAAGCATTCGCGCTATTGCCCGAAACCCAAATATAGACTTAAAATCAATAGGAATCTATTCAAAATCAGATATTCAACATCACATTAGAACACAACAATTCCAAGAATTATTAACACAAATGGACACTATACAAAGACAATCAATAGACCAAAATTTACGCAAACTTGCAGAAACCGCAGGATTTGCCGATATCTACACGCAAGACTATAGCGGATATTTTAAGGACATTAAAGATTACATATATCTAAACGGTGAAAAATACCGTCCCCAAGATATATCACCAATTAACATTTTTAGCTTTGTTACACTCAAAAATGAGATCCTCGATTTTCTAGGATGGCCCTACTACATCTTAGAAAAATTGACTATTTTATACGCAATGTTTAACTTTATTGGATTTCTTTTCTCACTTTTAAAAGGAATCTACAACACATGTGCTATACACACACAAGTAAACAGACAAGCAAGTGTAGCACGCATACTATTTGCAGGATTTTTTGGAATCTTTTCTACATCTATAAACAAAATTCTTTTAGACGCGCAAATAAAAGAATATAACACAAAAATAACAACACGACAAAATACATACGACGAAGAACATAACAATGTAGACATAACGCCAACGGCACCACAATTACCAGCCCTACCAAATAACCATCCACTATCCCTAGTCCCACGAAATTTTCGAAACTTAGCCATCACACATAATCCAAATTTTCGACTCACCACATCACAAAGTCCCATTCAACATATAATGACACACCAGTCACAAGATGATAATACTTATGAACAAATTATTGAACAACCCCATACCACCGCTTTTCAGTCTCAAAATAATCATTTTTTTAGCCCACGATGAGCCGCCAACTTGGATCACTACACCGATCAAATTCCCACCCAACCAATCTTACCTCAATCCCAATAATACCACTTTTTGCTTTTCCGCCACCCGATTTTCCATCTAGTAATGTAACATCAGGCATGAATTCCGACACTAATTCACACATCTCAGTTTTATACTCCATCTCACAGCTAAATAACCCGAATATTGAAACCCCCGATGAATTCGCCGACTCAGAACCATCCCCATCCAATAATTTTCATAACTCTTCTAATTTTTCTCAACCCCCTTTTCAACCCATATTATCCAATAACCCTGACCCAATTACTCCCACACCCTCTTATGCTTCCCAAGTTACCCCAACCTATTCCTCATACCATTCTGACCAATCATCTCATTCTCCAGACACCCCCCGAATCTCCCCAGAGCTAGATAATTTTATTACCCTTCAACAACAACCCTACCACCTTAATACCCCAACCATAAACCAAATCTCCTCCACAATAAATTCATCCAACCCCCCTACCCCTACACCCTCTTCAACTTATACTGAATCACTAGCACCATCATCCACATCAACTGAATCTTCACTCAACACTAATAGAGCTTACCGCACTTTTAAAAGAAAGTTCCCCAACCATCCTTTCCCAGCAAAACCAGGAACAGCCCGTGAATACATCAACCACCCCAAGCATACTAACACAAAAGAATTTTTAGCCATCACCTTACCCTCATTCCCACAATACACCTTAAACACCCCCCACGACACTAACGAAACACGCAACTTCGTAGATGAATACGTTTTAATGCCTACTCTCTCTTGGACCTCATATTATCATTTCACTAACCCTCTTTGCTTACCTTTATCTAACACTCACATCGATATAGAGCGAAATACGGACATGCTATATCGACTCACTACACCACTAACCGCTAGACAATTTACTTACGTTGGATATAAAAAATCACTAAAAACACACACTGCACCTAGAGCTAACGAATATACACTCGAATACTATGATCACAACATCATCAGAGCTAACCAAGATCAATTCTTAGACGACGATCGCTTCGCTAATCCACAAATTACCGAGAAATTTTTCATCAAGACACCATATACATTCACACTAAACATCTTCGACCGAAAGTTTGATCACATTATTTCAGAAGCACTAACAGACACACAAGCATACGAAAGTTTTAAAGAACGCTTCCAAATATTTTCACTAACCTTTCATTTCCTTGCACCACACGAAAGAGATTTACACTGCTCACACGATATTATGTTGCGCACTAAACAAACCCACACATATAGTTATTATCGTTTCATCCAAAATCACTTTGACCTACACACACCCTCTAGACAACCACACCATCGTTTTCAATTCATTAATTCCAAATACACTTCACCATTTTTCCTAAATTTCACATATTGTATTAAAGACACTAACCTCCATGGTATTCTTCGTAATTATGACCCCATAACCCAAATGTACATCTTCTGTCCCATTACCAAGACCTTCAACGCCGAAGAATCCCGACCCTTCCTTATCCCGCACGAGTTTGTACAACCCATAGAAATCCCAATTTTAGAATTCATCCACAACACTAAATTCAATCACAAATTATATAACTTAATCCAAAACACACCTTATGAGTTTGCAGTTGGCACTGAAGAACTAACCACTATCAAGGCACTTCAATTGCTTTGGCCACTGCTTCAAACTAAAAATATCATCCGCATCTTAGCTAAACTACTAACAACTTCAGAACTAATTCACGACATCTTCCCCCACGGTTTTTTCCCCGACGACTAACAGGTAAGTATGAATTAAATGAATAAAACTAACTAATTAAAATATTAAAAAACTCACCATACTTTATTCATGTTTTCTTTAGATTTTTAGCCTTCATCCGACGATCACCTACAAAAACCACAAAAGACAAATAAAAATCGCAAATTTCATCAAACAGATTTCAAAAATTCTATTAATCTCTTACACTTATAAATTTATAAATTTAATACCAATGCAGTAAATTCATTTCTAAAATTTTCCCCCACAAGCAGTAAATCTAATTATGATGAAAATTTGTATCTTAATATTCCCCCATGACTAGCAGTAAATTTCTAAATTCTATGTAGTAAATTAAATAAATGCAAATGCAGTACTAACCTTTTGATATTCTCATTCATTCATACAGAAATTCTATCCACACTCGCACAGCTCGCCCACGAAGAATTGCTTAAAATAATGAATTTCAGTTTCAAGTTTTCACACTCAACAACTCTAACATATAATAACATGTTTCAAACTTTCCTTTAGCCCGGTTGGAAAGGAATCATATACTAAACAAAACTAACCAACGCAGCTTACTAAATACCACAAATCATAGAATAACAACATGACTTAGAAAAAGAAACCAACGGTACCCAAACCGGATTAACCCAGTTTAAAACTGGATAATTTATTCTTTTGAAGACTATTATAAAGTCTAAGAAAGAAATAATAAAACACAAAAAAGTCGAAAGACAAACCCATACCACAAACAATTTGATTTTTGAAAAAAGGACACAACCAACAAAACATAAGTAAGACCACAACAAACTCAACATAAAACGTTGTCACATAACAGGACCCCTCACAAAAACCGCATGAAATCATACTCCCACTCCTGGCCTAACCCACCAGGAAGGACGTCCTGAGCATGCTCTATAGCCGGCCTAACCCACCGCGCTACATCCACGCTTTGTGACCACACCACTATTTTTAATAAGAGCTACTCAAGTGTGAGTAACTCTTCAAAATAACCGAACTAAAACAAAAAGCTTTTGTGAAAACAACTAACTAAAATCATTATTAAAAAATATTAAACTAATAAAAGTTTTATAAAATGTAAAATCACATGATGCAATATATAGATCAGAATACAACACCAAGGACGAACATCAAAAGAACAAGACGACCCCACTACACTCGAGAGAGAATGACCAACTACAATCGATATGCCGCTCACAATCACAACTCAAAGGATTTAGAGTACGACTTGACCTCGCAGAAAAGGACTTCATTGAACTAGACCAATGACCACCTCGATGTTCAAGTATACGTACAGATCCGAGTAACCAGGCATCCCCTCCACGCACAATCTCCACGCCATTCCCAAACTAGATCATACACAAAAGAAGTTCTCCACGCAGAACAGAAAAACCTGACATAGCAAACCATTCTGAAATCAGATTTGAGTTTGTTGCAAAGACGTAGTCGTTGTCACTAGAAGACACAACGTCTTATGTCTCTAACTCCAGCTTCCTGGAACTTCCCTAACAAAAGAGGAAACGGAAGAAAATTATGATGTTCGCCAAAAACAAACGTCCATCATCCATCCTTCGAATTGCAGAAGAACTATTCTAAAAAACTCTGTAAAACCCGGATGGGTGGAACCTGATCTAAACTACATTTTATGATTGGATAAATTAAATGTTTTACCAATGTAAAGTATTTAATATTAACCAATCATGATCCATCTAACTAACAACCCACTTATTTGTAAGTGCTGAAGTTACTTGTAATTTCAGCACCAGAGAGATTTGAATTTAACTTAGAAATTAGTTGGACTCTCCCGAGCACTTCAACAGCCGCAATAGACCAGTATACCCTAGATCTATTGAGCCTAGCAGAGACTAGTTAAACAACCTGAGACTAGATAGTATAAGAGTAAGATTAGGATCGGTATTAGACTAAGAAGTTGCACGAATCTATCCGGCCGAAAATAAGATAGCGTGACGAGCAGACGGTGTACCCTATCCGAAATTACTCTATGAGTTACACTTCGGTCCTAACTCAATCGTAACATCACGCGTTCAGCCATAATAACACGTGAAACAACTATCACAAATAGAAAAATTGAAAGGCTGGGGGGGGGATGAAAAGAGTTCTTAATTGTTGTGATGTTGACCTACTGACCTGTATATAGCTCTGCCAATATACAACCGAAACTCCAGATATCAATAGCCATTCCATATTTAGCACCCAAAATAACCTCAGGCGCCCTGTAGAATCTGCTCTGGATGTAAGTATACACTCTCTGGTGTTCGTAGCACGAGCTGCCAAAGTCGATCACTTTAATCGCACTTCTTCCCTGCTGTTTCAGTAAAATATTCTCCGGTTTCAAATCACAGTGGATTATTTTATTCCTAAAACAGAAGCTGCACTTTCATTTACATTGAAACATTAACATTTCAAGAAATTGTAAATTCGAACATTTGAACATTAACATTCAAGAAGTTGTAAATTCGAGTCAGACTTTAATTAAAAATTGAAACTGAATCTCCTAAAAACAAACATAATTATGTAGCATCAACTAAAATTTTTGAACAAAATCTCACCGAAAAAAAAAATACTTGCATATCTAAAAATTTCAAATTCATTTTTGAAAAAAAAACATTCACCAAGCAATTGGACGAAAGTGCTTCAACCCAACAAATAATGATCATATGATGTGTGCAATTTACTCAGAAACCCATTTTTGAAAAAAAATAGTTTTGCAATATATGGCAAACACCATTTTTCAGAAACCCATTTTGCTAATTACGGTAATTAGAAAACTTGCACAATCTAATAAGGCCTACCTGTACAAGCACTCTAGACACTGGAGTAATGAGTAAGCGAACTTCCGGACTAGTTGGAGACTGAAGCCAGAGAACCTGTTCCTCTTCGTCAGTTCGTACAAGTTCATACTCAGCAGTTCGAATGTAATACACTGGTGATGTCTTAATACATTGAGCAGGTTAAATAAGAGTGACCAAATGACTGAATTTTTATTGGGTTATTATGAAAAAACCAGATTCGAGTGCCAAAGAAAAAACATCAATTTAAAGTTCTTCGAATTTTCTAAAATTGAGGTTTTTGATAAACCTCATCTGAGAAAACTGTACCAATAAATAATTTTGGCAATGATGAAAAACCAACACCCCATGATAGCTATTTGAAAATATCCAACAGTAACGGACATAAACCCATTTTGTTAGAGATGATAGTTCTTGATGTTTAAAGGTGCTAATGGGCATCAGAAATAGTCCTATAAAAGATTTTGAAAATATGTTACAGGATGTTTCAGATAAACTTTCTCAGATAAAGTCGAATTTCCCACCAGATATTAATACTGAAACGGACAGTTGGATGCTGTGAAATGAAATAGTGGGAATTTTTTGGTTTGTAATTGATCCAAAATCATATCAGATAAGTCACCCACGAGGTAAAGATGGTAAAATTTTACTTTTTTCCTGATAAAAAAACTACCAATCAAATGCCTTCACGAAGTTCGTTCATTGACACTTGAACAATCATTTCCAAGCTAATAAACCAAATCAAGAAGCTTTTCAATTACTGGTGATGTAGCTAGTTCTGAACTTTCAGCTTTCTTATGGCAAAATATAAGCCACCGGTAAAAAAAAAGACAAAAATAAGTATTGTCGTCCCATTTACCTAGGTAACAAAAACGAGCAAACTTCTACACCAAAACTTTCAATAGACATTATTTGGCATATTTGACAACTTGATCACTCCTTTAACCTGAATTCGAAGTTGTCGAAAATGTGAACAATCTTATAATAATCATTCACATCCTGTTTCTTCAAATGCATCAGAATTCGGATCTCCTCCTGGGCCTGTCTGTGAAATCTTTTTTCGTTCCTTACAATTTTCAAGGCCACATATTGATTCGTTTTGTGGTCGTATACTTTCAGTACTTGACCAAAACTGCCTTTTCCGATGACCTAAACAGGCAGAAACTATCTAGTTAGTATAATTCTGTGGGTACATGCGCTTGAATCAAGAAAGGTAATTGATTAAATCATTTGACTGTGTTATAAAAATTAACTATTCAGATATTAATTTTAAAATAAATACAATTCAAAATGAACAAAAAGACCAAAAGTACACTAGCAAACCGCGAGAAAATGAAAAACACAGCCGAGTTTAGCTAAGTTTTACACTGATCAATTCAATTTTCTAACTCAGTGTTTCACGTTTCATGAACAACTTTTTTACTCCGCTTATTCGAGAAATAGTTCACTCCAATGCAAAACTTAGTGCAGATGGTGAAAACTGGCATTTTCAGACCCGGCTTAAATTGGTTCTTGAAACAACATTGATAACTTCACAGATGGTAGCGCTGATCATTTGCTTTTGGTCTATACAAAAATTTAGCTGATATTCGAATTGAAGGTTGGAAACAGGAAACTTAGAGAGCAGAAACCTACATTTGCGCTTAGTTTTTTCGACTAGTGTATTACACTAAACAATTATTTGAACTAAGATTTTTTCGTCAAATTTTGGCTAAAACAATGTTTATAAATGCACGCGACAGCAAACAATGATGCAACAAGCAAAACAACAATTTCCTTAGTTAACCAACTGATGAGTACTTAGGTTTACAGATTTATGTTCAGACTTTGCAGACTTATGTTCAGACTTTGCAGACTTATGTTCTGACTTTGCAGATTTATGTTCAGACTTTACAGATTTATGTTCAGACTTTGCAGACTTATATTTCGAGAAAACTGTGTCTTTGAATTCTTCGTAGGTCATAGTAATGATGGGCGGGAATGACGTTTCAACTCATCCAAGAATGAGTTGGATAAGACCCAAGTACCCTTCCTATCCATTCAACAACATTATGATTATGCGGAAAAAACTTATGCTTCGAAAAATACCAAGGATGGTAGTAGGCGTAGTCAAGAGAGCAAAAAAAAAACAACAAGTAAGCAAATTGGGAAACTGAATACTGAGTTAAGAAAGTGTCTTCAGAAAAAGTACATTGGGTTGGTCGCTAATGTCAGTCTACTTGAAGATTTTGACGACGAAACGCATCAGTTGCAAACAAGCTAGGTAGAACAAAAAGTCTTGGAGCCATTGAAACACAAAATTTCTAATTTTCGTGATAGCTTGAGCTTACTTCAGCAAACAAACAACATAAAAAGTACATTAGATACAAAATTTCATTCGATGGGCAACATCGAAAGAAACGAACGCACCAGACTTACGGAAGCAAGACATACAAATGCCTTGCTATGCTTGACTCTCCTTTTGAAACTCGCTTCAAAGTTAGTTTCTACTGATTTACTCGAACATTAGTTTGAGAGATTTATTGAGGGGTTCAAGCATTTGAATGACCGGTTGTATCTTGAGCAATGTGTGTCAGATAAAATCGATGAAAATGCGTTTTTATTAGAGATGGAAGTGTAAGTGTAAGAATAGGCACAATGTTTGATACGAATTCAAAACGCCCTTGAAGATTTGACAAACCACAAACCCAGCATTAGACAAGGGAGCCAATCAACCTTCTACATCGTCCTGAATAAGATTCAGTTGCATTCTATAATTCAGTTGCATTCTATGGTTCAGTTGCATTCAACATTTTGAGGCTATTGAGTGACGCAGAAACAGAATCGGAACAAACATCGGGGTATCCACGCAAAACTCAAAACAATTCCAATAGTTTAAAAACACCTGTTTTTTGATTGTTCATGCACTAGCTCATTTAATTTATTCCTAAACTTAAAAATGTCGGTATTTTAATGCAATTTTCATTGATTTTTTCCCACTTCGTTCGAATGTAAATCCACTGTAGAGTTTCGCTTGTTCCTTCACGCCCGCTCCATATTGGGGTCTGAGTATGGGCAGTTTTGGGGTGAGGCAGTACCTGCACCGTTTCCTGGCTTCGACTTCAAATTAAAATTTTTGAAATCAAGTTCTGCTTAAGATTGTTGTGCATTGTTATCTATGCTATTGTAAACTACAAAATCAGCAATCAACCTTTTGCTATGTTTAACTCAAAAGGAAATTTGCGTTGAAAATTGCGACTTTCATTCGGTTCACACATGCTTAGAACTCATTTTGATTCAGCACATGATTTATTGAATCCCCATTTTGCTTCAAGCTCAATTGTTCAGCGAAAATAACTTTCATCTTTATGCCGAATCTATTCTCTACGAGGGCATCGAAGAATCTGGAACACTATTTGATGTTCATTACATAAATTTGTCTCACGGTAATTCTGGCAAAACGCCGTAAAATCATTTAATAATGTGATGATTTCTTGCAACTAATAAGTTAGTTTTTTGACTTCTGTGAACAAAGAGACAATTTAAGACATAAGTAAAAAGCATCTTGTCTTAAATATCTGGCGGCCACCATTTAGAAATCGAAGTCAACGCCGGAAAAAGTCAAACCAGACCCCTATCTTCAGACAATCAGGCCCCCAGTGACAGGGAACCGCCTCAGTTCAATCAGGCCCCAGTGACAGGGAACCTCCTCAGTTCCCCAGGCCCCAGTGACAGGGAACCTCCTCAGTTCCCCAGGCCCCTCCCCAGTTCCCTATGCCCAGCGATAGGTAACCTCCTCAGTTCAATCAGGCCAGATCAAAAATTTCTAATATTACGAATTTCCTGGGGTTTCTTAACAGAGCCTCTTCTTGGAGATAACTTGCAATCATTGCAAAAGTTCAATTTTTTTCTCGTGCTATAACTGAAATGTTCATACTCGTTTTTGATATCCAAAATAAAGTCACACCAGTACCATTTTTTGGTTTGTAAGGTTCTAAAAGTTAGTGCTTAAGCTTCAAAACTCAATTCGAGCTCACAAAACCCATTTCTGCAAATGTTTAGCGCCAACCATTTTCGTGCTATTGAAATTCAAAAAAAAATTGTGTTTCTACAACCTAAACTGAGCTAAATTTTTGTACGTTTCTGTAAAATTGTGAATGATTGGGGTATCAAGGTAGCACTAACTAAAAAAAAACAGGTTTCGCAATTGAAAAAATGATAGCCAACACCCGTTTGCGAAATCTTTTTAACCCAAAAACTGATGCTTTAAATTTTCAAAGGCCCCATATTTCCGTAACGTTAGTTCTAACCCACAACTAAAAATGTTTCACTAAGCATATCTTAGCAAAGTTTCGTAAGTTTTTCAGGAAAATATCGAAAGTTTCGAAATCAATCCAATTCAAACAAAAATTTCACCAAATAGTCTTTAACCACAATTCAAAGCGCTCATGACTACGTGAGCTGTAGCTCATTTTACTTTCTTAAGCATCGTGTTAACCCTATGGTCGATTGAACTCAGCAAAACAAAAGTAAACTTAACTTGAAATAATACTCTTGAGAAAACTCATGAAGCTTAAATAACGGAAAAACTTAGCGATCGCTACCATCCGAGCTCGTAAAATGGTAACCCACCTTGTCTACTAAACAATTAATCTTAAAACAATCTCATTCAATGGCTCCAACAAAGCCAAGCTGACAACAACAGCTTTACTAATGGAGAATTCGCTACAGTACCTTCGAGGAGCTTGAGGAAGAGGTAACGAGGCAAACAGCCACCTCAAGCGAAATCGAATACGTTAAGCTTAGTTAAGAGAAGGTAACCACTTGTTTCGCCCTTCTCGATAAACTAGCAGACGACTTGGCCGTGTTTTCCACTCAAGAAGCACAAGACTTCCTCGACAGTGCTTCGACGCTACGAAAATGAAAGTGCGACCTACTAATCAATGTTAGGAAGTACAAAAAGGTCTTAACAAACAATGGTTCCATTCCCACGTGGTCAAACAGCCCAATCAGAGTGCAAGGCACAATTGCAACAGCCAATGTACCAGTAAAAAGCTCAAATACTACTAAAAAATTGGCCAAGAGCGTTATCAGTACTACGGCTGCCGACTTTTCAACTTAAACGTCCAGCTACGATTTGGGTACTTTCGACTTAGACGCTCCAGTTTTACACATCCACGGGGAAACCAAGAGCTATAGATCAGACAATCAACGGTTATACCGCTACCTCTGCACCTAATTTCAACTACCGCGCTTCTCTACGTTACAACTTCTCGCCTCCACTAGTTTTCAATGAAAATCCTTTATGGAACGATAACTCAACACAAGCCCAGATGTCAACTGGCAATAACCGACATGGTCTGCTAACAACTTCAATTGCGAATAGGCCTGTTTCTACATCTGAACAGTTCGTTTCTAATCACTTAAACGACCACCATAGGACTAACTCGCAATCACGCGACCAACAACGCAACAGTCTTTTCGGCAATGGACAAAGACAAGTCAGTAACCACATTACCAATCATGCGACTAGTGGAATCAACTACAATTTGAAAGGATTCAAGTTACCGGATATAAAATAACATAAACCTGACGGCAACCCACTGGCGTGCAACAACTGGTTCGAACTCGTTCAGACTGCGATAGGCAATGACCGACGTCTAAGCCCGGTTGAGAAAATCATTTAATGCTAAATCCTTAGAGAGCTAAGGAACCAAATCTTTTCAGTACAAACAGGTGAGACTTGGATAAGTGCGTAGATACGGTAACCCAAAATATGTGGTGTCAGCGTTCATCAGTCAACTAAAAAAGTTTCCTAAATTGATACTAAGCGAGCCAGAGGGCTTTATCAGACACGCTGCTTTCCTATGGAAACTAATTCACAACTTCGAACTCACCGGCTACACCGCTGATCTAAGTTCTAGTAACCTCAAGCGAAATCGAATACGTTAAGCTTAGTTAAGAGAAGGTAACCACTTGTTTCGCCCTTCTCGATAATCTAGCAGACGACCTTGCCGTGTTTTCCACTCAAGAAGCACAAGACTTCCTCGACAGTGCTTCAATGCTACGAAAATGAAAGTGCGACCTACTAATCAATGTAAGGAAGTACAAAAAGGTCTTAACAAACGATGGTTCCATTCCCACGAGGTCAAACAGCCCAATCAGAAAGC